TCCGGATCTCATCATCATGCGGGAGGTGCACTCTCCCAAAGACGAGGGGAAAGAAGAAACGGAATAATGGCCCCAAGAGAACAGACAGAGCCACCATCCCGTACATTGGATAGTCATCCATGGTGGGGAACTGCACAGGGAAGACCTCCGCCGGACCACCAAGTAGCTACCCCGGATCCTAGTCTACTTGAGTGGATGGGATCTGTAACTTTTTTTTTTTTTTTTTTCAAAATCTGGATGCCGCTGCTTCTAAATAACGAAATTTAATGATGCAAATAATATACAATCTCTTCTTTATTCAGAACTCTTTTTTTTTTCTCTTCCTTTTGTTTGTTTGCTTGCTGTCTGTTAAGTCACATAGCTGATCTATGCCTTTGATGGTCTGATTGGTCAATTTGTTAGAGTAGGTAGCTGGGAGGGACTCAAACTTACTTCAAGAACAAATCCAATTAATCACAATTTTCTCTGTTCTCAACCACTTACACTCTGACTTGGCAGTACACAGTTCCCAGCCTAATCCTATCTTCCCTACCTCTCGACAGACCAGATGGCTAGCACGAAGACCAGATGTTGACCCTCTAGTCCTATCTGTCAGATCAGACCAGGCCACAAGTTTCGTCCAGACAGCAGCAGCGACCACCAAAATGAAGGGGAAAGAGATACACAACACACAAGTTCACAATCAACAAGGTAGGTGTGGCCGTTGATGAAGACTCCATGTTCGCTCCAATCGCTCCAATCGCAGGTAAGTCTTCTCCACCTTAGCCCCTTCTTCTTCGGCAAACTTCCCCCTCTATCCCAATCCAACTCTACTTCACTTCTCTTCTTACTTCGTCTCTTGCCAGCTATACTCAAGCCAGTTTATCCTTCTCGCCGGCCTTGATCATGCCAGCGCGTGAGAGTAACAAGTTCCGCTCCGATACCAAATTGCAAGGAGCCCGACGTGCATCAGATCACATGCATATACACAGATTTCACAGATTACGATGTCTCACACAAACCCCAATAGAAAACGAATGAGAACCAGGAAGCTCAACTCAATTATCAAACCCAGAATTAGAGGGAGAACATCGTGAGTTCAAAGTGTACAGCGCCAAGTCTTCTTCAATCAACATGAACTCCCAGGCCTGGCGCCTAACGTCAACAGCGCCTCAACAGGTAGATATCACCATAGCTCACTCCTCCCCCTCTGTCATCTGCTTTCTTCTCTCTGTCCCTCTATGTCTTTGGTCCTGGTCTACTCACACTCTCCACGCATGCACACTCCCTATCACACGAGGATCTACTCTGAATACTACTCACTGGTGTCTCCTACTGACTACCTCTAGTAGTATACTAACTAGCGCTGGCGCAGCTATGGCTGCCTTCCCTCCGGCCAGCGCTCACTTCCCTCTCACATAGCGCTGCTCTTCAGCCTAGTGCAGCTCACACACAACTAGCGCACAAGTGCCACTGCACTTCCACACTTTATGCGAGATGAGCCTCTGTCCAAATGGGAGGCTGGCCAGTCSTTTATAGTGCTGCACTGGCCTGGCGTGGCCTGCATTCAGCCTCAAGTGYCTGGGACTCCTGCCCAGYACCAGTTGTTGCAAAGTGTGTGTCCCAGTATYTTTTMYCATGGTCTGCTGCTGCTTAGGGCCATYGGGCCTGTCTTTTGGACTCCTGGTCTGMATCAGGACTGACTCGTGGGATTATGACTGGACTGGGACTGTGGCCTTTGRCTTATTGCCGAACAGACATGACTTTCCMTCGAGGARACATGACCCTAACTCAGTCTTGAAAACTGTGTCCAATACCTGTTCGTGCAGGACCTGTTTGTGACTGTTCAAAACGACTTTTCATTTTATTATGGATGCGACATTTGCCTTAGGAACTTTGTCTTTTGGGTTGCTGCTCGTGAATTTAAGTTCTGGCCGACAGGGCCCCTCGCTGTTGGGGCATTCATTTGGGGTTTAATTCGTAAAGGCCCTTTTATAGGAGAGGTGCAATCTCATTCACACTTTTCATGCATGTAAACAGCAGCGCAGCTAACTGGCGACATGCGCTCACTCGAAACTCAGAGATATGGTATCCAGATACGAGTTCACTTCCAATTGGCTATGGCGACTCAGCGCCCAAACAACTCACTGTTCACACACACCGGATCACCCTGGATATCCCACACGCGTCACTCTGAACACTCACGCATACACACACACACTTCACACTAAACTACAGCTATGGCAGCTATGGCTGCCTCTACCCTATCGCTATGCTACGCCCCTCTCTCTCGCCCTCTTAGTCCTTCGGGCATACTGCAGACCTCCTTGCACAAGTCGCTGTGTCAGCGCTTCCGCATGGCTCACGCAGGAATGAATGAATGGCTGGGTGCTGCCTCTTGATTTTTAGTATTTTTATACTTCTGAAACTCGGTGGTCTGCCCCTTTCCATCGGCCCATGGTGCTCACAGTCCCTCGTGGTACTTGCTGGACCGAACTGGGACTGACTGGACCTTACCGCTGACTGACTGTGGACTCACTGCTATCCTACCGAGGTCGTACGGCGATTGCACTGCAGTTTAGTCCACCACTTGACTCGCCACTTGACCACTTGCCCACTTGCCGACCTTCTAGAAGGGCTACAGCTAGACTTCTGGAACTCACTAAGACTCCTACTCTATAGATCTACAGATCGAACCCCTGCTACCTATGGACCTATGACAGACCTACCAACTGTCTACGAATATACAGGTTACAGGTTCAACTCTCGGGCCCTACACCGGTACTGTACATGGGTAGGTCAAGGTGTAGGGACCGAACCCTGGGTACTGCATCTGCTACTGCTAAAAGGTGAAAACCGTTTCAGAGGTCTCTAATGGAAGAAAAGAACTGCTAAATTCATTTGGAAGAATTCATTCAAAGGCCAAGCCTATTTGTTTGGACTCTGCAAGATCCAATCCAAATTGCTGAAATTAAATGAATTCACTCACTCCAGGAACCGAACCCTGATCCTGCTGCAATCAACGCAGGAAAAAAAAGCAAACACTTACCACAAGGCAAAGCAAAAGCTGCGATGAAACTGAAGCCCGCAGATGCGAATTTCAGCCCCCTCCACACTGGTTACCCTCAGGCGTAACCAGACTCGACTTCAGCCAAATGGCCCCTGAGCTTCGCCCAGGGGTTTTAAATGCCCACCAACCCGGGTGCAATTGCCCGGGAGCCTGAAGCATGCAGTATAAAAGCCTATTTGGCTTGGGGAGACCCCACTTAATATATGTCTGGCAACAATCGGTTTCCGCCATACTTGCGGTGCATTTGTGCGGTGCGCGATGCGGTGCGCTGCGCCATGCGGACTGCGCGCGGTGACACTGCGCGCGCACGAGATGCGCCGTGCGCGCAGCGCATGGGGACGCGCTACCCCTGCGAGGTGCGCACTGTGCGCC